GCTCTGCTTCCCGCCCTGCCCCCCTCCTGGCCAGCCCCGCCCTCCCCCCTGCCCATGATCAAGTGTGTCTGGTTTTTTGGCTGGGTCTACCTGGTAACCCTAACTAGGGGTGGGCGGGCCATGGCTCATCCAGGCCCACCTGTGGCTACACACCTGTTTCAGAGTGACTGAATTTGAATTTTTTCTGTGGCTCAGTCTCACTACTTCATTCATGGCTCACTCAGAATATTTTACCAGGGGATAATCACAGGTAGGATCATGAATCTTTAAAAAATGCTTCAATGATTGCAGTTTGAAAAAAAAGTCTCTTGATATTAAAATGTTCTTCTCCTGTGCTTCACCTTTGCTATGGACATTACTCTGTGATTATGTTTCTCTCCAGGCTTTTGTCATATTTGTTGGCATCCCATGTCTGATGTGTTTTAGGAACCATATTTTCAAGCTCTAGTCTGTTCAGTAAGTCTCTAGGCACTATGATTGCCTGCAATGAGAAACTCAAAAAATATGATACTTTTCTGTCATCTGATCCATAACCAGTCTCTGGGTATCTCAGCTATTTGAAGTATGGCAGGGAAGTACCAAAATCTTCATTTAAAAAAAATCAGCAGTATACTGTATTCCATACACTTTGCTAATTATAATGACAATAGGCTTTCAGCAATAAGTTATTTGCAGTCTTCCTTGAATTGGTATTCTTTCACTATTCTATTCAACATGACCTTTCATGGTTGCAGTGCCTGTGACCAAGGAACCTAGAGCATCTACAGTCAGGACATTAGGGGAAAATGTGCAATTTAGTAGAAATTCCTGAGAGTCTAGGAAGTCTCTCAAAAACATGAGGATAAACAGGTGTGGTAATATTCTCTGTATCACTATCACCTCTATAAAGGACTGATTTTTTTCTTTTCCTTTCCTCTCTCTAGGCTTTTATTCACAAAGGCCACTATATTAGTGTCCCTAGCCTTCTGAGGGAAAGGCAAGTCTGGAAGAGTAGGTTGACCAAAGCTTACAGGCAAAGAAAAGGCATTAGAACGGAGAAGAGAACACCTCTTGATGCAAGTAAGTGCTTCACACAGATGTTAAGCTTTCTACTACTCTTCTTCTTTAGCTATCAGCCATATACACTTGCCTTCAGGAACACTCTTTTTCAGCTTCTTGTTTTATAATAGAAAACTAAGTCTGTCTTCATATTGGGAGGATTATAAGCTATCAAAGACCATGCCAGACCTTTGGCCTTCATGTAGAATTAATTGTTCCTTCATCCGTAATACTCTGTCAAGGGAAATAATGGGATTCAGGATATTAGAGGTACCAAGAAACTGCTAAAGGACAAATTCTGCCACTTTTATACTCACTTTGATTTGAATCTTTTTCATCAAATTCCTATTAAAATCAAAGAAATTACTTGAGGAGTAAGTGACTCCCCAACATAAGAAAAGATAGCAGAATTTGGTTCTAAGTGATTGACTGACAAACCATAACTGATACAACAGTAAGAATGTAATGTAGGATTTTCTAGGGAACATTGGAGAGAATTAAGGCTTACTGCTTCAGAAACATTGTGGTGTAGGACTTTTTTTGTTTTTGTTTTATTTTCAATTATGCTTTCAAATCTATCCTCATGTCAGTGTTTGGCGTTATACTTGTTCTGTTTGTCTTTTCTTCTTAGAATTTTTCTTACCTATAACTTACAATGTTTATGCAAGTGATTTGCACACTTATTTCCTTTTATCTCTTTTGGAGATGTTGCCTTGTGATGGCTCTCTGTTTTCTAGAATAAACAAAATCAGATGCAAATAATCAAGAGTTTGTTTTGTACATTTTTAACCCATGTTTACAATAAAAAAAATTATTTAATTTTGCTTATTTTTATTTGTTGGGTTATAGCTTTTTCTTTTAATTTCATTGTAAAGCATATTTTTCTAGACTTGGATTTTAATTTATTAACGACTGTCAGTGGGAGCCATTAAATTAAAAAAAAAACAAAAGAAGACAGAGGCCCTTCCTTGTAGATTTCATGATCTACTTTCAACAGATAGAGCATGCAGATCTCATTCTTTGGGTATGTCTATACTACAGAGTTTTGTCAGAAAAATGGCCGATTGCTGGGGTCCAGGTATCCAGTATAAGGCTTCACGAGCCACGGCATGAGGGGGATACACCATGTCGCCCACGATGAACAATGGCATCGGCATGTCCCCAACTGCTAATTCACGGTGGAGGAAGAATGTACCCGCCTCCAGCTTCCCATATAAGCTAGAGTTCCAAAAGATGCAGACATCATGTGCCCTGCCCAACCATCCAACAAAAATGTCTGTGATGTGTCCATGGTGGTCATCCAGGGCCTGCAGCACCATCAAGAAGTAGCCCTTCCTATTAATATACTGGGCCACTTGATGCTCAGGTGTGCGGATCGGTATGTTGATCCCATATAGGGCTCCAGCGCATTTGGGGAACCCCAGGGCAGCAAATCCAGCCACAATGGGGTCCAATTCTCCCAGGCGGATGACCCTCTGTGGCTGGATGGAGTTGATGTCCCTCACTACCTGCAGAAAGAGACAAACAAACACATAAAAGAAAGAATGAGAGATGGAGTGCCTGAGCCCTTGGAAGGTGCCCATCCCGTTCCCATCTCCTCCCCCCCCAAACACCCCAGGAGACACCTCTTATGAGGCTACTCTCTCAGCAACAGGGCTGTGTGAGGGCAGGACAGCACAACCCCCTGGGGACGGGACTTCCCCCCACTCCACCCCCCACAACCCCCAACTCCTCTTTCCCGAGGGTCCCTCTTTTCCTGGAACTCTCCCTCCTCCCCCTGTGAAGGGACTGCAGCCCGAGAATGCCTCACCTCCATGAGGAGGGCCCTGATGGTGGGCTTCCCCACACTGAATTGGTTGCCCACCGACCCGTAACTGTTGGTGAGCTTCCAGAGGGCTATTGAGACCCACTTCTCCAGGAGGATGACGGGCTGCAGGTAGGTGTCGCGTCTCCAGAGGGCAGGGGCAAGCTAGGCACACAGCTCCAAAAAGGTGGCCTTCTGCATGCAGAAGTTTTGGAGCCACTGCTGGTCATGTCAGCCAGTCCCACGTGTCAGAACTGGTGTCTAGCCTCCAAAAACGCCTCTCCACTGTGGGCTGTGGTTGCCAGAATGTAGCTTCCGAACCCAGGGAGAGGGTCCCAAGAAGGAGCTCGGGGTTGAGCTCGGTCAGGAGCAGGAAGGCAGCTGGCACAAAGTGCTGCAGTAGCTGCAGCATGGCCGTGTGGGGCCATTGCATGCCCTGGGGCAGCTCTGGCTCCATGCCACAAAGGAAAAAGCTGTGGCATCCAAAAAAGCGGGGCAACCACAACAGGCACTGCGAGAGCTTTGCTGTGCCTCAGAGAGGTACGCAATAGAAGCAGAGAAACAGGGAGGTCCGGGGGGTCCCTTTAAGCGTGTGTCTCTGCAAGGCTATGGTACCAGCACTTGGAAGCAACTGGTGACCTAAAGCCCTGGCTGAAGTGGTTCCAGGTGGCCTTTTATGTGAGGAGCGTCGAATCAGTGTAGACGCACTCTTTCAAAAAAGCAAATCATTTTTTCAATGCGCTCTCTTTTGTAAGAAATTTTTTTAGAAGATCTCTTTCGAAAGAAGCTTGCAGTCTAGACGTAGTCTTTTTTCTGAGATTTTTCTGAGAAATAGGGGAACCAGAACTGCTCATAATATTCGAGGTGTGGGTGTACCATGGATTTATATACTGGCCTTGAGACATTTTCTGTCTTATTAATCCCATTCCTAACATGAAGCTTTTGCTGGCTCCTGTACACATAGTAGATGCAGAACTATGCAGAACTATTCACAATGATGCCACAATCTCTTTTTTTAAGTAGGAACAGCTAAATCAGATCCATCATTTTGTTTGGATACTTACAATTTATATTTTTCCTATGTGCATTATTCTGCATTTATCAACCTTGAATTTCATTATCTGCCATTCTGTTGCCTAGTCACCCAGTTTAGTGAGACCCCTTTGTAATTCTTTGTAGTCTTTTGTCTTGAGTAATATTGAATTGTCTGCAAATTTAGCTACCTTATTGTTTAGTCATACTCATCTCTAAAACTTTCTACTGAAATAAAGGAGAAGAAAGTGAGAAGTCTGTAAAAGTAATTGTCTTAGGAACCATGCATATTATATATACGCAACTGATCAAGAGATCTGCTTTAAACACCATTGCAATTTGTATTTTAGATCAGGAAAGATTAGGGGAACTTGAAAATCACAGAAAGACCCTCTCAGAGGGTTTTGAGAAGACATGTTGGAAATGAAGGGAGGCAAAGGAAAAGCGTGTGGGGCAGCAGTCCACATTTTCAATTCAATTGTTTCATTTTAGTCTTTATGTTTGAACAATAATCTATACCCTAAGACAGGGGTCTCCAAACTGCGGCCCGGGGGCCGGATGCGGCCCGCGAGGGCCTCTCATCCGGCCCGTGGAGACCTTTTTGGATTCAAAGGCAGAAGAAGTGAGATTGTTTCAAAACCCATTTGAAGCAGATGTGGCCAGTTGCCCAGATGAACTGCAGCTGGAAGTCATTGAGTTGCAAGCAAATGACCTCCTTAGGGACAAGTTCAAAATAGGACTGGTGGGTTTTTACCAGTTTTTGCCCAAGGAAGACTTTCCTAATGTCAAAACTTTTGCATCAAGGTACCTTTCAATCTTTGGAACAACATACCTGTGTGAACAAACATTTTCAAGAATGAAATACGTGAAGAACAATTTGAGAACAAACTTGTCCGATGATAATCTCAGGTCACTGTTGATGTTAGGGACAACAAATCTAAAGCCAGAAATGTCTGCTATTTTGGCATCCAGGAAACAATTTCACCATTCACACTAATACAGGTGTTCATGTGTAGTGTATGAATGTGTTATTAAATAATAACTGAATAAAATAATATTAAATAAATAATTAAAAACAACATCCATGTTTTGATTGTTTTTTATTTGGACCTCAAGTGTGTAGTCGGCCCCCGAACTGCTGTTTGATAGTTAATGCGGCCCTCGGGCTGAAAAGTTTGGAGACCCCTGCTCTAGGATAAAGTACCATCAGCATTACAAATGTTATGTTGGAATAGGATGTGGGGAAATGCTGTAACCAAAATAATGGTAAAATATCTAATCTATACATACCATAGTTATTTTAAATATGAAAAGCTACCTGTTTCTTACATTGGCATATTATTCTGGGAAGTTGCTGCTTGGTAAAGAAATACTGGATGGGAATTTCTATTTGTATGTGTTTTTGCTGTTCATGTTTATGGTATCTTTCCCCACACAGTCCTTTTTTTCAGGAAGGCTGGTCTCCATGTGGTGTAGACATTTTATTCATGTCTTTGTTTTTAATCAATTACTATAATACAGGCAGTCCCCTGGCTACGTACAAGATAGGGACTGTAGGTTTGTTCTTAAGTTGAATTTGTATGTAAGTCGGAACTGGTACATATTGTAGGGGAAACTCTAGCCAAACATTTCTCCAGAGCTCAGTTTTATTCTCCCACACCTCACTTCCCTCAGTCCTTTATTCTCAAGCTGAGGTGTCTGCTGAGAAAAGCCGCTCCACCTCTCCCTGGTCTGCTGGGCGGGGGGAGGGGGACGCGCTAGCTTCGCATCTCCCTAGTCTGCTGGGGGGAAGTAGCTAGTGCGGGGGTGCCTCACCCCGGTTGTAAGTAGGGATCCGATGTAAGTCGGATCCATGTAACCCGGGAACTGCCTGTATTGCTTCTTTCACGCTGACAGGCATGAATACAAATATTAAGGCAAGACTACACAACACACAGGCCCCATTTAAGTTAGTTCTGCTGAGATTAATAAAATACAATATTTACCCCATTTACAGCCATATGACAGCACTTTTAATGAGCAATGACAGTCCACGAATTTAACTACAGCCTCTTCCCGACTTACGAACCAGTTACGGACCAAGCAATTGGTCATAACTCCGTTCGTTCTTAAGTCGGACCCCATAGAGTTACACGCGACCGTGGACTTGGGGACGCCTGGGGCAGAGCAGCTGGGGTGCTGCCGG